CCCTGCTGCTTTGGGCGTGCCTGAGTTTCCTCTCTTCACCTGGATCCCTGAGGCTGACTGCTCCTCTGTCCAGATTTCTGGCTTTTAATCCCCTTTCTCTGGTTCTCCCCCCCTGCTGCTTTGGGCGTGCCTGAGTTCCCTCTTCTCACTTGGATCCCTACAGCTGATTGCTCCTCTGTCTGGGTTCCTGGCTTTTTAATCCCCTTTTTTCCATTCTCTCGCCCTGCTTCTGGCTTTTGTATGTAATGTGCTATTACACATAAATGATTTTCTACACCTTACTTCAAAGTTATTAACATTTTCAATGTATCTATTATCACAGAAAATTACTTTCTAGATTAAGTGAATTATTAGACCAAGATGCAGACAAAATTAAATATCATAATCTTTATAAGCCTCAATTTCCTCATTTAGGAGATGGAGATAGTAGTAACAACCATGCCATCAGGCTGCTGTTGGAAAACAGAAGAAATATGAATGAAAAATAAAGAAGTATTGTTTCTATGAAATCTAAATTAAATGTTTTAGAAAGACTCCAGAAATGTAAGTCACTTAAAAAAAAGAAAGTGAATTCCCAAAATGATAGGGAAAAAGATCACATTGCTTTGTAAGTATTATTACATTTATTTTCTACTTTGAAGAAACCTAAACTGGAAATTGTTGATTGTGTATTATGGGTATGGTTTATGACAGAAAGATGAAATCAAATTCAAACCAGTAAAACTATATTGAAACCAAAGACCTCACCCTTATTTCAAAATGTTAGGAAATGAGTGGCACTTCTGCGTTTTAAATTTCAAATGCAATGTTTAAGAAATGTACATATTTTTCATGATTTTCTGTTCTATTTAATTATTTTTATTAGCCAACCAACTAAAACCATGCCATGTCCCTTGCAAAAGAGAACTCATACCATGGCTCTTTGAGATACTATTGTTTCTGTATTTTTCTCTCTTAGGTCTGCACTGTCCTTTCTTAACTCATTCTGTTATTTATTCCTCTTTGAGCTCATTTTCTGGGGCTTGGGTCTATTAAGTTGTTTGATATCATGATGAAATTATGAAGAATTTCCTCTTTTTACAAACTTTATTTTATTCCAGGACAGGTTGTCTGTCTTTTGAGTGCTTTATTTTTTCCTTTATTTTGGCTCAAGGAAATGTGTATGATTGCCATTCTGTTTCCTTCAAGAAAATAAGAGTTTTGCCATTCAATCTCTTTTCATTTTGTTCAGGACAATAAATTTAGGGCTATTTGCAGGAGAAGGAAAGGAACAGAAACCTAACAGAATGATACATATCCTACTTTAAAATCAAATTAGAAAAAGAGGTATCCACATCTAAATCTTCCATTTCACTTTATCTGCTAGTTTACTCCATTTCAGAATATTAAGTGAGAAATCTCATGATTTTGTCTGATGAGAATCTTCTGCTTTTCTGTCTTTGCCTCACTTCTTGTTTACTTGCTTAGGTCATGTTTTTCTTTTTCTTTCTGATTAATAATTTTTCATTATGTTTTGCCCATTTTTTTAAGTATTAGGAAAGGAAAATTCTGCTATATAATTTTATTCTGCCACATTAGCTAGGAAGTCCCAAGTGTGTGTGTGTGTGTGTGTGTGTGTGTGTGTGTATAGGCCTTCGTAGGCTACATTATAGACTTAGGACTTCATCTAAAGATCAATGAGAAGCCACTGAAGGTTTTTTAAAGCAGGTTACTGAAATGATCAGGCTTTCCTATTTAAAAGATCACTCCAGCAGCTGTGTGAGGAGAAAAATTGGAATGAGGCAGTGTAGATGCCAGGGAAATTAGTTAGAAAGTTACAGTAGTGATCCAGGCGAGAGATGATGGTGGCTTCTAGCCCAGTATTCTAATTGATATCCATAATGATAACCCTGAGTTATTACAATAAGGCTTCATTTTATTTGGTATATCCTGTTTAAGGCTGCAGGAGAGTATGTGATATGTTTTAACAAAATTTCTGTAGAAATTTATCTGGTGGCAATAAAAAAAAATTATGTTCAACTATTTACACAAGAGGCTTTTTCATTTACACATGGAGCATGAAGAAAGTAAAAAGCATACTAAAGTATACAATTATTTTAAACATTTTTCCCCAAAAATGCTGAGATACACAGGATTCAAGTAGGCCAGCTTTTGACAGCTACTAAAGAATCTCTCGAATATTTGCTTGCAATCAACATATTTGATTCCAAACAATGACCTTCACATAAACATGGTCTCATATTTCTGCTACAATAAATGTAGATTTTGAAGGAATGGAAGCAATATTGTTTTACCTATGGAATTTTCGGGTTTTAATCAAGAGGTTTTGCTACGACAGCGTATAATAAGGCAGCTGGTATTACCAAAATAGTCATTTGGAACTATTATAGTGCTGCTGCAAATGGTATCAATTAACTGTTCACTTTCAAAATTTTCATTTAGTGAGACTTGATCAGAGGGCTCAGGAATATAAACATAGGATTTTTTTCCAGGAGGGGGAATAGGAAGGTAGGTCAAAACCTGACAATAAAAATCGATCCAATGTTCAATTTAAAGTAGAGAAAATAATAGAGAAAGAGATAGTCACATCTGAAAAATCTATAATGAGGTATCTAGTGACTACAAAAACTCTAAATTACTTTTCTATGAAGTTTAAGTAACTGTATTTCTTTATGTGGGAGGATCTAGATACATGTCTTTTTGTTCTATTTATTGATCTAAGGTAAGTTTTAAAAACTAACAACAGCAGCAATGTTGTTATGGGAATCATCAATAGGGGAGAGAAACTACAAAAGCCAATTTGAGAACCAAAAAAATATACTCCTTACTTTTTAGTAATTACGTCACAAACTGAATTTTTAAAACTAATTTTCCTATTTAAAACAAAAAGAGGTTTCAATTTTTTAAAGTTCTGAGGCCTCTTAAGTAAGAGTCCACAAATAATTAAGAACATATATGAAATTACAACTCTCAGGTTGAGTGAGCAAATTAAGGAACACAGGTTCAAGGGAAAGAGTCATGCAAAATAGTGCTGAAAATATCTGGCGTGTGGTTTATCTGGTGAGATGGTTATTCTGAGAAAGCTAATGAAGTACTGTTGCTACTTGCCTTTACAGTTTATACAAATAAACTTCATATGTTTTTAAATGAGAACAATATTTTCAGAAGTTAGATGCAGCAGAAAGATGATTAGTATCCTCTAAAACCCACAATAGAAAGGAGTATAGCTCCAGCTGTCCCATTAACCAGCTGTGGCACCTTGGGCAAGTAAGTCACTTAGAATCTCTGGGCCAAAGCTTCTTTATACATAAACTATGAAGATTGGAGCAGATGACTACTAAAGTCCCTCTATACCTATTAATCTATGAATCTAAACAAGAAAATGCTACAAATGTCAGCAGCTGTTATTACAAATGCAGTACCAGATTATTGTGGAACAAACACAATCATGGTTAGGCTTACAAGCTTTAGGTAAGTTAGACAGCCTGGGTTCAAATCCAAGTTCTATCCCCCTACAAGCAGGCTGACCATGCAAATGTTACTCAGCTTCTCTAAGCTTTATTCACAAATGGGGATAAAAATAGTACCTAGCTGTAGTGCTGTAATGTGGGTCAAAGAGGCTAATGCATTCAAAGTACTTAATGCTATGCTCAGCATGCAGGGGATGTTGGTTGGTATCATTATTTTCGTCACTATTGGTATTACTATGGAATATATTCTATGAAATAGTTTATCAAGGAAGAAATTCTGCAAATATATTCAGAACAGAAAAATTATTTCACGAAAATTATTTCACTAGAAAACACATGAAAATAATTACAAAAATTAGTATTTTATGGTAGCTGATGATGATGACAAAAAAAGCAACATCTTTTTGGGAAGGTCATAGCTCCCTTTGAAGCCTGATAAATACCAAGGACCTCAGAAAAATGCACATATGTACTCACAAATGAAATGTTTCAAGAGGTGCCTGGATCTCCAAAGTTCATCCTTGGATGTCTGTCCCAGGTTAGAAATCCATGCTCAACATCAGTGGTTGCAAACTGGAGGCCTATGGGTTAAATGTCTTCTATAGATGTGGTCTGTATCTTAAATTTTACCAAATGAATACCTCTAATAGGGCATGAGTTCTTCTGTGCACTACAGTTCTTAACCAGGCTCTCTGGTTTTAATCTCAGCCAGCTTTAATATTTTGGGTAGTCTGATCACTGTTGGCCTCTGAGTTTGTGACCCCTGCTTTCAGAACCTATTCTGTGACAGATTCACTGTAATAACTGTCCAGTAGGCCTTCTTGTCTAAGGAGGAAAGGAAAAGACACACATTTTCCTGCCTCTCTTACATACGGGTTCACCTATGACCTAGCTTTTACCAAGCAGATAAATAAGGGACTTGGAAAGTAGATTAGAGCCACATGAGGTGGCAGCCTCAAGTGAAAGGATTAGATTTTCTATAAGCAAGATGGCAAAAGTTCCCCAGTGGGGCAGCTATGACAAAGATTATAGACCTAGTCTAGAGGTTGGAACACTAAAGCCAGTGGGTCAAATCCAGTCTGTTTTCATAAGTAAAGTTCTATTGAAACACAGCCACAGTCACTTATTTACATATTGTCTATGGCTGCTTTTGAGTTACAATGGCAGTTGACAGAGATGATATGGCCCACAAAATCTAAAATATTTACAATCTGGCTCTTTACAGAAAAGGTGTGCCAATTCTTGGTTTAGTTTCTAGATGTGGAGTGGAAGGGGACAGCTGCAGTTAAAAAAAAAAAAGTTTTTCTCATGATGTAGTTTCTCCTAGTTCTAATCTTCCTGGTTCCATAGCATTCAAACTTGGTTCTCTGGCCCTTCTAAAATTTTATAAGCTATCTAATACTGTGTAATAAATCTCTTTCTGCTGAAAATAAGTGGAACCATTTCTATTATTGCAACTAAGAACCTTGACTGAAACACAGTGTAACAAAAGACAAAGAATTAGGTTATTAAGTTAAAAAATGTACTTACATTATGTAACATCTCAAAGTACTTCTGACAGGCTACCTGGTAATGTGTCCCTTTTACTAAATCCAAAATCTAAAATGAATGAAGAAAAGAGAAAGAAAAAAATTAGAAATTAAGCATCTTCCAAACGACCAAAGCTCACAGCTGTTGGCCTTTTCACAATTTTCATTCAGGATAGGAAATACACTAAATCACATGGCATGTTATATTTCTGCAGCCTGGCCACTGTGATAATTTTGACATTCTACAGTAACTGTTTAGGTCAGCATTATACCACAGATGACAAGAGAGAGTAAGTGATCTTTCTGACCTATCAACTGTGAATTTCAATAACTATACCTCAACAAGATGAAAATAAATCCCAGCGTTATGACTTTGACAGTTATTGTCAGAATATCACACTACAACATCTCTTCCAAAATTATAGATATAAATCTAGTAATCTAAGTGGTTGGTGCATGAAGCAATCACATGTACTATTTAGATTTTCATTTTCTACATTACCAGTTTATACAGATACAGCATAAAACACTGCTGTGTGCCCATCAGGAAAATTTAATGTAAACCCTTCAGACAAGTATCTGTGGAGAGGGAATGTTTTTACCTTCAATCAGATTTGTCCATTTTTGAAATGACATTATTTCTACTAAGGCTCAGCAGAATATGAGAGTAAATAGTCTATTTTGAACACCTATTAGGAACATCATCCTATCTTTTGTAAATACAATTTGCTTTCCAATTCTACTTCATGTAATCTCTTCAGAACAGTGTATTCTTATCAACAGAGTGCAATGCCAGTTGAAATTTGTAAAGTTTCATCACCTTTCCCCTTCAAAATAAATAAAATGTATATTTGGCCTATTTATCAAACACAGTGAAATGCTGAAATTAAGAGATAACCTCAAATGAAAGGAATTCTGGAGAAATGTTAATTTCTATCCCTTTTTAAAAGGTAGACCTTCCTGTGACAAACAGAAATGTACATGAAGTCAAATTCCTGTTGTCCTCATTATTGAATATAGCCTTGTATTTTTTGAGATACACAAAAAAATTACAGTTGCAGAATAGGTATCATAAAATGCTGACAAGAATGTGCTTAAAAGAATAGTTTTTCTGAATGTCTTATAGATTACATTTATGTGCTCCATTTTACCTTTTGCTACATCCTATATGAAAGACAGGAGCTCTGGTAGCATAGTGGCTAAGGTACTTGACTGCTAACCAGAAGGGTGGCAGTTCAAACACACCAGCCACTCCTCAGAAGGAAGATGGGGCAATCTGCTTCCATAGTGATACTGCCTCGGAAACCCAAGGAGGGGTCGCTATGAGTCGGGTCCAACTCGACAGCACATAACAACAACAACAACATATGAAAGACAGCACCCACACTGTCTTTCCTTGAATTATGATGGCAAAAAAAGAAGAATCAATTAAAAATGAATGAGTATGAGTATTAAAAATTGAACTGAATCACAAAGTTTAAAAATAATTATAAAATTTTAAGGTCATATTTGCCAAGATTTTACAAATAGATAACCAAATTGTGATGAGATAAGCCTCAAAATATCTACTGGTGAATACCAATGAGAATGATATATTAATCTCTCTGAATTAGAAAGGAACTCTTATAGCATAGTGCCTAAGGCACTTGACTGCTAACCAGAAGGCTGGTGGTTCAAACCCATCAGCCACTCCTCAGAAGGAAGGTTGGGCAATTTACCTCTGTAGTGATACTGTCTCAGAAACCCAAGGAGGGGTCGCTATGTCTTGGGTCTGACTCGATGGCACATAACAACAAAACAACTGAATTAGAATTTTGGAGAAGTAAACAGTTCAAACAAAAAGGTAAGCTTAAAATTATGCTATAAATTACATGCAAAGAAAATAAATTCATAAAAATAGACCCAAAAGCTAAACTGTGTGGTATACAATAAATTCATTTGATGTAAAAACAAAATAACGAATTCAAATCTTATTCTATGCATACAGATTTCCTATTCTATGTATATAAAATTTCAAATAAAATGCGGCAGATAATTCAAAAATGGTTACATAAGTACACTGACAGAGAACTGACAGATATTTCAGCCGGACTCAGAAGAGGGTGTGGAATGAGAGAGATCACTGCAGATGTCCAATGGATCTTGGCTGAAAGCAGAGATTACCAGAAAGATGTTTATCTGTGTTTTACTGACTACTCAAAGGCATTTGACTATGTTGATCATAACAAATTATGGATAACACTGTAAAGAATGGAAATTCCAGAACAATTAATTGTGTTCATGTGGAATCTGTACATAGACCAAGAGGCAGTCATTCTAACAGAACAAGAGGATATGGCATGGTTAAATGTCAGGAAATGTGTGTGTCAGGGTTGTATCTTTTCACCACACATATTCAATCTGCATGCTGAGCAAATAATCTGAGAAGTTAGACTATATGAAGAAGAACACAGCATCAGGATTGGAGGAAGACTCATTAACAACTTGTGACATGTAAATGATACAACCTTGCCTAGTGAAAAGTGAAATGGACTTGAAGGACTTAGTGAAGAAGATCAAAGACTATAGCTTTCAGTATGGATAACACTTCTACATAAGAAAAACAAAAATCCTTACAAATGGACCAATAAGCAACATCATGATAAACAGAGAAAAGGTTCAATTTGTCAAAGATTTTATTTTACTTGAATCCACAATCAACATCCATGGAAGCAGCAGTCAAGATATTAACCAAAACTCTACAAAAGATCTTTTTGAAGTGTTAGAAAGCAAATATGTCACTTGGAGAACTAAGGTGCACTTGACCCAAGCCACAGTATTTTCAATCACCTCATGCATGCAAAAGTTGCACAATGAATAAGGATGACTGAAGAATACTGGGTATGCCATGGACTGCCAGAGAAATGAACAAATCTGTCTTGGAAGAAGTACAGCCAGAATGCTCTTTAGAAGTGAGGGTGGCGAGACCTCACCTCACTTGATTTGGACATCTTACCAGGAGGAACCAGTCCCTGGAAAAGGACATCATGCTTGGTAAAGTAGAGGGTCAGCAAAAAAAGAGAAAGACCCTTAACGAGATGGGTTGACACAGTGGCTGTAACAGTGGGGTCAAGCATAGCAATGTCTGGGAGGATGGCACAGAACCAGGCAGTGTTTCCTTCTGTTGTACACAGGGTTGCTATGAGTCAGAACCAACATGAGGGCATCTAACAGCAACACAACAATGTATATAAAGTAGAAGCAGTATTTATGTTCCTTGCAGAGTAAATATGTAATAGTAAATATACACAATCTAATATATATGTTTGGGAAATACACATGAAGAAATACAAGAAACATTAATAAAAAAATGTTGTTGTTGTTGTTATGTGCCGTCGAGTCGGCCCCAACTCATAGCGACCCCTCCTTGGGTTTCCGAGGCAGTATCACTACGGAAGTAGGATTGCCCAACCTTCCTTCCGAGGAGTGGCTGGTGGGTAATAAAAAAATAGGTAGAGGATAATATATATATGTTTGTGTGTATATATATAAAAGTTATTAGGAGAAACTGACACGAGCCACAGAATATGACAAAAGCATATTTATGTATCTTGAAATTTCAGGTTCTGTCAAATGTTTTTTTTCTTTTTTTAATTTCGATTTTTCTTCTCACTCCCTTATAGGATTCTTCTTCAACAAAAATCATTTACTTTTCCTTCTAAGTTTTCCAATATCTTTCAAATCTATAAAAAAATCATTCAAAGTTCTAACCTTAAACAATGTCACTGCATATTTGAAGTGAATGAAAGTTTCAACACATGTTGTAAGTAAAGGTGTGATGAAAAAATAAGAGTGTTTTTCACTGACTAGGACAGTTATTCAAAGAAAGAGAAATTTAGGCCTGAGTATGAAAGGCTGAAGGTAGAGAGTGAGAAAGAACACCAAGTGTGATGGTTAATGTTTTGTGTCAACTGGGTTATGATTCTTAGTGATTTGACAGACACTATGTAACCATCTTCCAACATGTGATCTGATGTGAAGAGGCCAATCAGTTAAAAAGGAAGGTTCACTATATAAATGAATGTTTTGCAAAGTTTTCACTCTTTTAACCTTGCCCCACTCTTGTTGTCTGATCTTTGTTTTTAAGACTTAAGCTTGCAGAAGTCTCTGCTAGCTGCCTGATCTTCAGATTTTAGATTTGCTAACCCCTGCAACCCCATGAACCAGCAGAGGCCTCCAGCCTGCTGCCTGACCTACAGATTTTGGGTTCATCAGCCCTGCAACCACGTGAGCCACTAGAAGTAGGTCTTTAGCCTGTCACCTGATTCATGAAATTTGGAACTTGCCAGACCCCACAACTGTTTGAGTCATTTCCTTAAAGTTCTCTCTATACAGCTCTTTCTTAGTTATCTCATTCATTGTTGTTGAGTCGAACCCAACTCATAGCGACCCCTCCTTGGGTTTCTGAGGTGGTATCACTACAGAAGTAGATTGCCCAACCTTCCTTCCAAGGAGTGGCTGGTGGGTTTGAATTGCCAGCCTTCTGGTCAGCAGTCAAATGCCTTAGGCACTATGCACTAGAACCACTATAATAGAAATATCACAAAAGGGTGGCTTGAACAAACAAATTTATTTTCTCAACATTCAGAAGGCTAAAATTCCGAATTTAGGACAAGAGAGTAGCTTGAACAAACAGAAATTTATTTTCTCAACATTTGTTGTTGTTAGGTGATGTCGAGTAGTCTCCGACTCACAGGGATCTTATGTACAACAGAATGAAACACTGCCTGGTCCTGTGCCAACCTCACTATCCCTACTATACCCGAGTCCATCGCTGCAACCACCGTGTCTATCCATCTCATTGATGGATTGCTCTTTTTCATTGATAATTCACTTTACCAAGCATGACATCCTTCTTCAAAAAATGGTCCCTTCTGACAACATGACCAAAGTGTACAGTTTTTCATAATATTCTGTCAGTATCTTTTTTATTTCAGTTGGTTTTGTTGTAATGACACCCTTTTTGTTTACAATTCTTGTGATTTGGATCTTCTCTTTCTTTTGTTAGATCTGCCAATGGTTTTTCAATTT